TAGTTTTTGTATTCTTGTCTTGATAAGAAGTCAACACTCTCTGATTACTTAGAAGGGGCATTTAAGCTGGAGAGGATCTCACTTCTCCTAGATGTGGCTCTCAGGGGCTGTTGAACCTTAACTCTGATAAAAGTTATTTTTTATCAGAGTTAAGGTTCAATTACAAGCTAATCATTATCACAATCATCTAGATCTTCCTATATTCATAAACGGTAATGTACTTGGTGAGTCATCTACCCTTTATCTTCTTGGATTAGCTATTATTTTTAATCTTTCTGGAAACCCTATATCATAATGATTGCAAAATCCATCTTTGTATGGAAAACTGTTGCCATATCTCAGGCAATGATGTCCTTTTTATCTTTTAGACATGGTTTAAAAACGCATTGTAAACATAGTTGAACCTGCTCTTGCAGCCAAACTCCAGCCATTATTACATTGTCATAATGTTATCTCTTTCTCTTTTCTATAAATACTATAATGGACACTGTTCTAAAGAGCTAGCGTCTCTTTTTTATCTACTTCATTCTTGTGTTACTGGTCATTTAATCAAATCTCATCCTTTAACTGTGACTTCATCAAATCAGCATTCAATTTGCTCTCTTCATCTTGTTTTCTTGACTCATAAAATTTGCAATCTTTTAAGTTGTGTGTTAAAATCAAATAAACTAATAGACTAAAATCAAAACCTTAGATTACGTATGGAATACTTAAATCTATTTCAGTTAAAAACAAACTTTATACAAAGTTTATAAAACCAAAAAATATTTATAAGAAAAATGAATTATTTGCAAAATTTAAATTTTATAGAAACAAAATTTTTATTTTATTAAAATTTAGCAAATAAACATACTTTATTACTTATTTTAATAATAATCTGAACAATATTAAAAACACCTGGAAGGGAATAAAAGAAATCATTAATATGAGACCTTCTACACACAATACATTTTAAAACTTAAATTGAACGAAAATATATTTAATAATTACTTTAGCACTATACACAACAAACTACTAAACTAGATGCATATTTAGTGACTTTCTTAACATTCCAAATGCTAATTTATTATTTATTAACCCAGTAACTGAAAATGAAATATCTGGTCTCATTGCAAACACGCTTAAAACAGAAAAAAGTCTTGGTCCTAATAGCGTACCTACATTTCTTCTTAAACTAGTCTCAAACATTATTTCAAAGCCTCTCGGTACTGTTATAAATAACTCATTTAAAAGTGTTCTTTTCCCAGATATTTTTAAAGTTGCCAAAGTTGTTGATTTGCATAAAGCGTTTGACAAGCGTTAGATCATTCAATTTTGTTGAAAAAATTAGAATATTATGGGATCAGAAGCGTACCACTTAAATGGTTCGCTACAAATTTAAACAATAGAACACAATTTGTTTCTATTAATGACTCAAAATCTACCCTTGTAAAATGTTCTAATGGTGTTCCTCAGGGTTCAGTATTAGGACCACTGCTTTTTCTTTATAATAATGATTTTCATACATCCATTAAGTTTGCTACTGTTTACCACTTTGCTGATGATACTAATCTAATACTAATTAATAAATCCCTTAAAAAAATTAACAAACACATTAACCACGATCTTGCCAATCTAGTACAGTGGCTTCACTCCAACAAACTTTTTCTAAACTCTAATAAAACTGAACTCATTATCTTTAAATGAAATAAAACAAAAATCTATAAACATGAACTTTACATTAAGTGGCAAAAAAAATTGAACCTGTTAACTCAATTAAATATCTTGGTATAAAAATCAATTCAAATCTTTTCTTTTATCCCACTGTAAAGACTTAGCAATGAAACTAAGTAGATCTAATAGTATGTTGGCCAAAATTTGCCATTATGTTAATTTTGAGACACTCTTGAACATATACCATGCTATTTTTGGCTCACATCTTAGATATGCATGCCAAGTATGGCGACAGTCCCATCAACAAGTTCTTATTAGGGTTATCCCACCTCCAAAACAAGGCTTTAAAAATTATTCATTTTCAGAATATTAAATTTAATCCTAACGTGCTCTACCTAACTTCTAAAGTATTAAAACTATAGGACTATATTCAACTGTCAATTTGTCTGGAACCACCAACACAATAACCTACCTTTCATTAACTTTTTTTCCAAAAGTGCCAACAATCGTTATCACCTTCGTTCCGATAGTAATTTAAACCTGTCTGTCTCTAAACACCGCTCTCATAATTACGGGCATAAATCCATAAAATATCAAAGCACTAAAATTTGGAACAACCTTCCTTATGAACTAAAAGCTCTCAATTCATTCTCAACCTTTAAAATTTCTATAATCAATTTTTGTTGTCCTAATATATATATATATATATATATATATATATATATATATATATATATATATATATATATATATATATATATATATATATATATATATATTACAATTTCTATTCTATATTTTTTATTGATTATTGTTATTTTGTTATTTTTACTAATATTTACTATTGATAACTACTTTTCATTTTTATTAATACTAATACTGATATTGTTGTTATTATTGTTATTATTATTGTTATATTATTGTTTTTGTTATTATTGTTATAACATCGTTATTTATATTACATCGTTATTTTATGTTATAAAGTTTATTATCGTTACTATATATTGTGAAAATTAGCATTATATTTATTTTAATTAGATATTATTAACATTAGTAGGTGTTTACTTTATATTAGTATATTTACTATTTGTAAACATCCTTGAATGTAAAACATTAATTCAAAAATAAATGATCGATTCATTGTTAATAATTGTCTTGCTCTATAAACTTCACTTTTTCATTTCCAGTAACTTCCAACTCTAATAGTGGTTGCTTTCAACCTTGTTGGAAGTGAGGATGTTAAAAAAAAAAAAAAAAAAAAAACAGTTACATAGTGATATAAAAAATTAAATTATTTTTAATTTGATATTTAGAGATGCTAAAGGGGTACATACTCTAATAAAGCAATTTTCCAATTTTTTTTTAAATTTTGTTCTGGTTCACTTTCAACAAGGCTGCAAGCAACTACTATTAAGTTTGGAGTTACTAGAGAAAAAAAGAATACAGTTATAGAACAAGGAAATGGTTGGCAGAAGGCTTGATAAGTTGTAGGTTGTATGAGACAAGAAAACATGAAGATGGGAGAGAGTTTTGAAGGATTAAAATGTAGGGAAAAAATGAGACTAAAAAAAGTTTTTAACATGCAGGGACAGATATAGTAAACGAATAAGACTTTGCAGAATGAAGAGTCAAGCAATAAATAAGATCTAAATAGGAATAGGCCCCTTAATTATTTGAAAAAAAAATTACTTTAAAAAAATGCATGTTTTAAATGTGTATCATGTTTTTAATATTTTATCCCTAATGTTTAAATGTAAAGAAAATTTGTCACCTAGTTTATTTAAATCTTTAAAGTTTCAAACCTAAAAATATATTTTTTGCATCAAATACAACCTCGATGCCTTTTTTTCTGTAAAATGATAAACAAGTTATTTTTCAATTAGCAAGGTTCTTATCTCGAGAACAAAATAGTATTACCAAACTTTCATTTTTCTATTAAACTGAATTATACAATTAATGAATTATAAACAGAAGCTTTAAAAAGCAGCCAGGACCATATAAAATGGCTTAAAGTTTATGTTAATGTTTTAAATCTGATACATTATTATTTTTAACTATAATGATTATCACAACACAGTATTAAAATACTATTCTAATACTAACTTAATTTAATGGTACTGTCTAACGGTTTAGCTCAAAAAAATAAATTAAAAATAATTATCTTTTTTTTTCAAAATTTGACTCAACATTCAGTTAGCAACATAATAAGACTATTTGAATTATAACAAACTAGTAATGTTTCAATAGCTTTTAGTTTCAGTAGGGAAAATTGTGTCCATTTTTTGTGATTTCAATAACTTTCAATGATTAAGACTATATAACATGTTAATTTGAAAAATTAAAAAAAAAAAAAGAATTACCTTTAAATTTTATTGATTTCATAGAGCTTCCTTTATTAATTTGTCAGTTTTTAGACCTGACCTGTTAGTTTATGATTTAAAAGATAAACATCTTGCAGAGGTTTAACTATTAAAATCATTTCTAAAAGTACAATGTAGCTTAGCTCAAAATCACTAAAAAGAAATTTTTAAAACATAACAATAATTATAAAATAAAAAGCCTAATATTTAATAGCACTATTTTGTATAAAAAATAACATTTGTTGCCTCCGTTAAAATGTATTAGACTCATTAAAATAAGCTAAAACATATTTGTAGGGAAACTTGAGCAAATACCTGTTAATTACTAACATTAAGTAAGTTGCAGATCTCATCTAAAAAATTGAAAAACTGTATTATTCTTGAATACCATTTTTTGATGTTTAGTGATGCTAAAGGTAGATCTCCTAATGAAGCAATTTTTTATGTTTCTTGCTTATATTTCTTGCTAATTAAGATACAACTATTATTACAATAACTTGCTAAATAAAAAAATAAAAAAATAAATACAAATTGCTAAATAAGATATAAATAGTGCAAATTGCTAAATAAGATACCAAGTCTAGATAATTAAAATAAAGTAAAGTGTGTATATATATATATATATATATATATATATATATATATATATATATATATATATATATATATATAAAATATATATATATATATATATATATATATATATATATATATATATATATATATATATATATATATATATATATATTATTTGTCATTAACGCTAACAGTATAAGTCAAGGCACTTTTGTTTTACTTATTGATGCGGCAAAATATAATAGCAAAAATTTTACTTGTTAATGCGGCAAAATAAAAAAAATACGGTAAGCGAAAACATCGACCTACTTTGGAGTTATGTTAACGTCTGCTAACCAAAATCCTCTGTTGATTTATGCACACTCACTGTGGCTAGGCGTGTAAAATAAGTAGCTAGGCAAGTCAAATAAATTAACTTGATCTGTTTTTCTGCATAAAACAAAAACAGAAAATGTGAAGTACTTGGTATAAGGAACTGTAATATTGGATTTAGTTAATTCAATACAAAGTGATAGGAAACTGCAAAATAAGGTAACAACGTGAAAATTATTCAAATACTAATTTACAACAATTTGTATTGCGTTTTATTAAAATAGCTTTATTAAATGGTATGAAGATTGGTGATTCTTCTTTTTCGCCTTTAGAAAATGATTAACGATTTGAAAGACTTTTAAATTGATTATAAAAGCATTATCTAAAAATGAAATGAAATCATTATTGATAACACTGAATGCACATTTATTTGTTTTATGTTAATTCATTTGAAAAATGAAAAATACGAAACGAAATTTAGTAATATTAAATAAATATTAAACACTTACTTTGTGAGAGTGCTTTTGTAAAAGTCTCTAATATTTGGTTAGAAGGCTGGAAATACTCTTTTTTTAAAAAAATTCAGTTTTATCAGCATTGCTAAAGATAAAAATTCTTGACACAAAAAAATTCGGCATTTTTTCTTAAAATATTTCTTGGCTTTTAGTGAATGATTAGGAGTAAGTTTCAGTAATGAAGCTACCCAATAATCATTTTTAACGATAGACACCAACGTGAAGGTAAGCCAAGCTTTCTATCAACACAAAACATCACAACAACATTACAGGATGACAAACAATAACACCAGTAGTGTAGGCGGGATTTTTGTTGTTTCAGATATATATTTAGAAGTTGTTGAAGAGTTTAACTTTGTTATGTCTAAAAAAATTCAGGTTAGGAAAAACACTTTTTTTAAACATTTGTTCCTAAGCTCTAACAACATCAATTTTTTGCAAAGTATTTTAATTCTATAAACGTGAATACACTTAAGTTTGGTTGAAAGTGCTATCTGAAGCATCAAAAGACCCTGCCTATGCTACTGAATACACATAGCATAAAATATTTGCACATAAACACATTTGCACAAAACACAAAATATTCAGATTATGTGTTTCCAGAATAATTTAAAAAGCTAGACAACACAACCTAGCTCAACACTTGTAACACCGCTTGGCACTAAACGCTGCCAAGTAACACCACAATTTAATAACACCGCTTGGCATTAAGGGCCAAGTAACACCACTAATTAGTAACACCGCTTGGCTAGCAAGAATCACAATCTTGCACTACACGTTGCCAAGTAACATCACTTTTCACATGGAAACAACTTGATATAAACTTATATAAACTTAAGCACATAAATATAAATAAAGATATATAAACGCATATCTGATTAATTTTTTGCTATACTAATCTAAAATGAACAAAAACAATAAAGTGCTATTTATCAGTTTAAACCTATGAAACTATGTGTAAAGCGTCTAATAAAATTTGTGAACAAAAATTATAACTAAACTGGTTTGAAACAGAGAAAAAGTCAGAAGTATCTTGTAATAACATACTATATTGTAAGTAATAAAACAGTGTTTTTTGAAACAAATAAACAATTTTATTATTTTAAAAGTCATATTAATGGTAATATTAAAAAGCAAAATTAGTTACAAATTAATTTTAATAACACTAAATTAATTTTAATAATACTAAATTAAAAATGACATGCCAACAATTGCAAACATGTTGCATCATATAGACCACATGTGGCTGACAACTGATTTTAAATACTTTTTTATAATATATCTAAAGAGAATAATGTAAAGAGATTAATAGGTGTATAGTGCATATATTAGACATATTAAACAGATATCATAGAAAAAGAAAAATTTTAAATATATTTACCAAATCTTTCAAAAACTATATAACACTTAACAAATAAAAGTTAATACAAAAGAAAATTTAGTATTATTAAAATAAAAATAAAGATAAAAAGATGTAAAAACGTAAATTAATAAAAAAACTTATAGACAAATTATTAAAAATTTTTATAACATAAGAGTTCTTTTGAAAGTTTAGGATTTAAAAACAGAATTAAAAATCAAAAAAATAAAATATTGAAAACATAAAAATTAAAATAAAAAATTGCAAAATTAAAAAAAACATTTTTTTAAAAAGTCAATTTTCTTTATATTTAAAGATAAAGATAATTCTACCAGTAGCTTGAAAAAGCTACTGGTAGAAATTAAAAGAGTTGAACTGCTTCCCAGCACCCCTCCTTCTACCAATGGTGTCATATGGGGCTTGTCTTCTCCATCTAAAGGAGGGATCATCTCCCCCATATTGACACCACCGGTAGAAAGCCCTTTGAGATATCGGACCTGGGTGCTGGGAACGATATCGCAGGAAATCTTGATGCAATGCTAAAAAACAAAAACAAAAAAAGAATTAAATTTGAATACAATACTGCACAAACAACCAATAAAAATATTATTTAAAACTATTTAGACTTTAAAAAAAAAAAGTTATGACAAAAAAAAAAATAATAATAAAGTAATGTAAAAATAAGGATACGCAATGTTTAAATTTCATATATATCTACACAAATTTTTTTTTTTTTTTTCATTTGCATTCACTCCCAACAAGGCTGCAAGCAACCACTATTAAGTTGGGAGTTACTAGGAAAAAAAAAAAGAACAGAGTTATAGAGCAAGGAAACGGTTGACAGAAGACTTGAAAAGTTGAAGGTTGTATGAGTCAGGAAAACATGAAGATGGGAGAGAGTTCCAAAGGATTGAAGTGCGGGGAAAAAAACTAGATGAATAAAAGTTTTTAGAGCATGCAGGGACAGATACAGTAAACGAATGAGACTTAGCTGAATGACGAGTAAAACGAGAATGAATTTTAGTTGATGGAACTAGAGATGATAACTCCTTTGAGCAGTGACCATGATAGTATCTGTAGAAAAGAGAAAGAGATGCAACTTTACGACAATGGGAAAGAGGTTCAAGCTTAGCAGATAGTCCAGGTCCAACAACATTTACAATGCGTTTTTGGACCTTGTCAAGAAGAGAAAGTGAATCGTTAGAAGAACCAGCCCAAATATGACAACAGTATTCCATACAGGGACGAATAAGAGATTTGTAGAGGTAGAGAATGGAATCAGAAATATGGAAATGGCGAGCAATATAAAGAGAAGCAACCTTAGTAGAAGCTAATTTAGCAATCGATTGTATATATGGTTTCCATGAAAGGTCAGTAGTAAGCGATAATCCAAGAAGACGTAAAGAGGAGGACTCAGTAAGAAGATTGCCATTCATTAATATAGGAATGTTGACCATATTACGGTAGTTGTTTGCAGTAAGCAATTGGGTTTTTTTAGAGTTGAAATTCACAACCCACTGTGAACCCCAATCTATTACTGAAGTGAGATCAGATTCAAGATCAGCTGCTTGTTCTAGGCAATCGAAAAGAGAAGACTTTTTGTCAAGACAGGAGTATAAAGTTGAGTCATCAGCAAAAAGAGCTACTTTAGATGAAAGGTTGTCAGGAAGATCGTTTATGTAGATAAGAAACAAAACAGGGCCCAGGATGGAACCTTGGGGAACCCCAGAAGTTACTGGAAATAAAGAAGAGTGTTGGCCTTCAAGGATGACTTTAATAAACCGGTCAGAAAGAAATGATTTGATAATCTCAAAAACTTTCCCAGAAACACCATATGAAGCAAGCTTATGGAGAAGACCAGCATGCCAAACTTTGTCGAAAGCTTTAGATATGTTGAGAGCAATAGCCCTAGCCTCACCGCCTCCATTTAATGCACAATAAAATCTTTCAGTTACAGCAGTTAGCAAGTCGGCCGTAGAGCGAGAGGATCGAAAACCGTATTGATTGTCTGACAGCAGTTTATTTGACTCAAGATGAGATGTGAGGAATTTGTTGATCAAAGACTCAAAGACCTTGCTAATAACAGAAAGAAGACTGATCGGACGATAATTGAAGGGGTCAGAATTTTCTCCAGAGTTTTTGAATATTGGAACCACAGATGCCATTTTCCAACAAGCAGGAAAACAAGACTCAGCCAAACACTTGTTAAATAGTTTAGAGAGAATTAAAGAAAGTTCTGGAGAACAATTCTGCAAGACTGTGACAGGAATGTTGTCTGGACCACAAGCTGTAGACAAGTTTAATTGAGATATGACTTTAGCAACAGAAGCCAGAGTGATTTGAATGTCTAACAATGGGTCAACCTGTTTGACTGGAATGGAAGGAAGAGAACACACATAACACACACACACAGAACACAAATACACATTACACAATACAAATACACAAATACACAAATACACACACAGAACACAAATACACATAACACCCATAAAACTGCATAAGCATTGCAAAACAGATTACCTGATGGTCCTGCAGATATTGTTGCTATTATAGAAGTAAATAAAAAATATGAACTAACACATATATTAAACAGTTATGTAATTGCATACAAACATGAAAAAAGTAATGTTTAGGTTTCAATTCACATAACACTGCATAAGTATGGAAAAACTGCATAAGTATGGAAAACACATCACCTGGTGGTACTGCAGTTGATACTGTTGCTATTGCTGAAATAAATAAAAAAGTATATAAACAAACACATATTAAACAGTTATGTAATTGCATACAAACACGAAAAAAGTAATGTTTAAGTTCCAATACACATAACACTCATAAAACTGCATAATTATGCAAAACATATTACCTGATGGTATTGCAGATGATATTGATGCTATTGTGAAAGTAAAAAAAAAAAAGTGTATAAAGTAACATATGTTAAACATTTATGTAATTAATAACAAACATGAAAAAAGTAATGTTTAAGTTTCAGTACTTGTAACACTCATAAAACTGCATAAGTATGCAAAACAGATTACCTGATATTATTGCTTGAGGTGTTAATGTAGAGACAAAAAAATAAATAAACAAAGTGATGTACAAAATAAGATATGCAATCTTTAAGTTTTAATACACATAACACTCATAAAATTGCATAATTATGCAAAACATATTACCTGATGGTACTGCAGATGATATTGATGCTATTGTGAAAGTAAAAAAAAAAAAGTGTATAAAGTATCATATGTTAAACATTTATGTAATTGCATGAAAACATGAAAAAAAAATATTTAAGTTTCAATACACATAAAACCCATAAAACTGCATAAGTATGCTAAACAGATTACCTGATATTATTGCTTGAGGTGTTAATGTAGAGACAAAAGATTAAATAAATAAAGTGATGTGCAAAATAAGATATGCAATCTTTAAGTTTTAATACACATAACACTCATAAAACTGCATAAGTATGCAAAACATATTACCTGATGGTACTGCAGATGATATTGATGCTATTGTGAAGGTAAAAAAAAAAAAAAGTGTATAAAGTAACATATGTTATACATTTATGTAATTGATACAAACATGAAAAAAGTAATGATTAAGTTTTAATACACATAACACTCATAAAACTGCATAAGAATGCAAAATACATTACCTGATAGCACTGCAGATGATATTGATGCTATTGTGAAAGTAAAAAAAAAAAAGTGTATAAAGTAACATGTTAAACA